ACTTATTCACAATCCTATGCATTAATTTGGAGCATACCTAAGCAGAAAAGTAAGACAAACTGAAAGTATGTTTGACAGGAAATATTGTAACTGGACACAACAGGGTATTAAGAGTAATCCTCCATAGGTAAGGATGTGAGCAAGATGATCTGCTAATAATGGGCCTTTTCCATCTCTTAACATCTTTGATGCTAAAATTACAGCAGCATATTCTTGCAGATGAGTGAAGTATTCATACAGGTGAATGCATCCCACAGCAAATTAAAAATCCACAAAAAGAGAAGCTTCTGTACTTTGAAAAATCTCTTTTCTAATATTTGTAAGATTCCACTTATTTTCAGTTTTGCCCCATCTTTTCCTGCTGCTGTCTGAAGGAATTTTACTGACAACCTTCTAAGATTGAGTTACTTCTGAGATAGGTACAGGTCACTAATGTTACACTGATCTCTGAGTTCCATCTCAGGGGCTGTACTGTCACTTAAATACCTCAAGGAATTAGTTATGGGTACTTCACTAGTAGTTTCATCAATCAAATTACCAAGGTGAAAATATCTTGGTGTCTATGACGCTTTCTTAACTTCTTATATAACAGAAGCCTCAAAAATGTTTTTAAAATGTTCAGAGGATGAAAATATCAATAATTAAAGAGGCACTTTTGACTTGAAATTTTAGCTTTTAAAAAAAGGTTTAACCTAACAGTAGTTTCAGAAACTATTCTTGCCATTTCATAGAATCATAGAATGTCAGGGTTGGAAGGGACCTCAGGAGGTCATCTAGTCCAACCCCCTGCTCAAAAGCAGGACCCATACCCAATTAAATCATCCCAGCCAGGGCTTTGTCAAGCCTGACCTTAAAAACTTCTAAGGAAGGAGATTCCACCACCTCCCTAGGCAACGCATTCCAGTGTTTCACCACCCTCCTAGTGAAAAAGTTTTTCCTAATATCCAACCTAAACCTCCCCCATTGCAACTAGAGACCATTACTCCTTGTCCTGTCCTCTTCCACCACTGAGAATAGTCTAGAACCATCCTCTCTGGAACTACCTCTCAGGTAGTTGAAAGCAGCTATCAAATCCCCCCTCATTCTTCTCTTCTGCAGACTAAACAATCCCAGTTCCCTCAGCCTCTCCTCATAACTCATGTGTTTCAGACCCCTAATCATTTTTGTTGCCCTTCGCTGGACACTCTCCAATTTATCCACATCCTTCTTGTAGTGTGGGGCCCAAAACTGGACACAGTACTCCAGATGAGGCCTCACCAATGTCGAATAGAGGGGGACGATCACGTCCCTCGATCTGCTCGCCATGCCCCTACTTATACATCCCAAAATGCCATTGGCCTTCTTGGCAACAAGGGCACACTGCTGGCTCATATCCAGCTTCTCGTCCACTGTCACCCCTAGGTCCTTTTCCGCAGAACTGCTGCCTAGCCATTCGGTCCCTAGTCTGTAGCTGTGCATTGGGTTCTTCCGTCCTAAGTGCAGGACCCTGCACTTATCCTTATTGAACCTCATCAGATTTCTTTTGGCCCAATCCTCCAATTTGTCTAGGTCCCTCTGTATCCTATCCCTGCCCTCCAGCGTATCTACCACTCCTCCCAGTTTAGTATCATCCGCAAATTTGCTGAGAGTGCAATCCACACCATCCTCCAGATCATTTATGAAGATATTGAACAAAACCGGCCCCAGGACCAACCCTGGGGCACTCCACTTGACACTGGCTGCCAACTAGACATGGAGCCATTGATCACTACCCGTTGAGCCCGACAATCTAGCCAACTTTCTACCCACCTTATAGTGCATTCATCCAGCCCATACTTCCTTAACTTGCTGACAAGAATACTGTGGGAGACCGTGTCAAAAGCTTTGCTAAAGTCAAGATACAATACATCCACTGCTTTCCCTTCATCCACAGAACCAGTAATCTCATCATAAAAGGCGATTAGATTAGTCAGGCATGACCTTTCCTTGGTGAATCCATGCTGACTGTTCCTGATCACTTTCCTCTCATGTAAGTGCTTCAGGATTGATTCTTTGAGGACCTGCTCCATGATTTTTCCGGGGACTGAAGTGAGGCTTACTGGCCTGTAGTTTCCAGGATCCTCCTTCTTCCCTTTTTAAAAGATTGGCACTACATTAGCCTTTTTCCAGTCATCCGGGACTTCCCCCGTTCGCCACGAGTTTTCAAAGATAATGGCCAATGGCTCTGCAATCACATTTAGTCCCCCTTCCAGTTTTTGTGGTTTTAAACTACATTTTCTTGTTTTAAAGTTTTCTCTACCCTGTTGCTTTGTGAAAGACCCACAGGAATAAAAGGGGAAATTGATTCATTGACTATACAGGGGAAACAGTGAAAGTCATTACACACAAAAGTATTTTCAAATGTGCAACATAAACAAATTACAATATATATTTTTCTTTAAGTTATAGTAATCTTTAGTGCTACATGTAATAACAGCACATTTACAGTCATAAATGTGATTTTTTTTAAATTGATAGTCTCTTTAAAAGAAAGGTATAAGTAGGAAAATTCCCGAGTGTAAATCACGAAAGGAAAATGCCACAATGATAATACTTTACACCTATTTAAGATACCATCCTTCAAGATGACGAATGCCTCCCATGAGGAGATGAGTGCCCTCAATTCCCATTAAAGTGAACAGGAACTGAAGGTGCTCAGCACCTTGTAGGATCAAGTAATTTCACCACTCTGATCCTGTTACGGCAGTAGTGTTGTCCCCATTTTACAGACATGAAGAGTCTTTCCCAAGGTCATATAACAAATGGTGGGCTGAGAACTGAACCCATATATAGTATGTGTTTGGTACAACATACCATGGTTATACTATTACACAGATATGATATCAGTGTTCAAGTGAATGGCTAACATTTTATTAATTATAGCATATGCCAGACTTAAGTTTTTATTTACATTCCCTACTACAGTACATAATTATAGTGTAAATTTCATTTTGGATAGTTTATTTTCTTGTTATTACAGATTGGTGTGAAGCCTCTTGACCTAGATGTACCATGTAGAAAAGGTGTGTTTTCAGAGACTTAGCAATTCATGGAAGCAAATACGTAGAAGATGGATTGTGGCGGGGTAGGAGACTTAAGTGTTGGATGAGTAATAGCAGATTTTTAATTACCTACATTTAGAAAGTGCCTTTGCTTTAGAAGGGTTCTAAAGAGCCTTACAAACTGTATATATGGGAACTGCTCCTGAAATGCAGCCATCTCTGGGATGGTTTATGACAATAGTCAGAGCACAGCAACATTGCACAACAGTTTGGAACAGGACTTGAATATCATATCCAAGTAAAGCTGTAGAGCAGTGGTTCCCAAATTTGTTCCGCTGCTTGTGCAGGGAAAGCCCCTGGCGGCCTGGGCCAGTTTGTTTACCTGCCGCGTCTGCAGGTTTGGCCGATTGTGGCTCTCAGTGGCCGCGGTTCGCTGCTCCAAGCCAATGGGAGCTGCTGGAAGTGGCATCGGCTGAGGGATATGCTGGCCGCTGTTTCCAGCAGCTCCCATTGGCCTGGAGCTAAATTCTCAGATGATTGTCTGTACTGGACATGCTCCAAACCTGGTCTGTGCACAACTTTCTCTGCATTTGCTCCTCCAAGCACTGAGGAGTAACTGTAACATTAGGTGCAGGAACTGAGAGTAGGGAAACTGTCTTTTCTGTGCTGTCAGTGATCCTGCTGCTAGTGCCTAGGGGCTGCATGGAGAAGGAGGAAGCTGCCTAACTGGAATGCCATAGGGTGATGGGAGCAGAGACAGACTGGGGGAAGGAGGACAGAGGTGGAATAGGATGGGGCAGAGTGGGCAGAGACAAGCTTGTGGGGTATAGAGGCAGTGGCAAGGACAGAGACAGGCTGTGAGGGCAGGGATTAGGCAGAGAAAGGCTGTTATGACACATACTAGGGGTGGGTGGAAAAGAAGGGTCTGTAACCACTAGATACACTTTCTTCCAGAACCTGAAATGAATCCAGGATTCCTGAGTCTCAGCATTACTCCTCTGTCTGGTAAATAACTGTGAAAACCAACTGCTAAAGTGTGTGTCACATCCCCCTCTAGTTGCTGGCCCACATCCCAGATAACAACCTGCTCCTGCTATTGATTGCACTGTTAGCTCAAGTGACAAATGTGTGTGCTGTGGAGCGTGAGGATCAATATGGTTCCACATAGTAAAATTTCTGTTTTTTCTGTTTGATTTTTTAAAAATATAAGAAATTATATTTTAAAAAAATCTGTTAAAAGAATGACAGGTTTCAGAGTAACAGCCATGTTAGTCTGTATTCGCAAAAAGAAAAGGAGTACTTGTGGCACCTTAAAGACTAACCAATTTATTTGAGCATGAGCTTTCGTGAGCTACAGCTCACTTCATCAGATGTATACCGTGGAAACTGCAGCAGACTTTATATACACACAGAGAATATGAAACAATACCTCTCTGTGTGTATATAAAGTCTGCTGCAGTTTCCACGGTATACATCTGATGAAGTGAGCTGTAGCTCACGAAAGCTCATGCTCAAATAAATTGGTTAGTCTCTAAGGTGCCACAAGTACTCCTTTTCTTTTTGTTAAAAGAATATTAAGATTGCAAAGTCAAGCACCCAAAAGTTAGGTTACTCCAGAATTAAGGTTGCCTGTGCAACCTTAATTTGGCCCTCTTGTGCATATAAATTGTGATACAGTCTTTAATTACATAAACACACACTTTTTTTTCTGGGATCTAGCCTCATTCAGTGCACAAGATGGAGGGATGCTGCTCACTGCTCATTACTATATTTATGGTTTATTTATTTGTTTATTTTATATTATTTATTTATATTCAGTATTTCTTTTTGGTCTCATCATTCAGTGTGTGGCCCATTGCCATATTTACCATACAAACTCTGTACTGAATACATAATTATTAATTTCCTCATGGGCTTTTCTACAGGGCTCATGTGTAGTGTGCTCATCTATAATATAATACAGTGCTAAACATAATCTTATGAATCCCCCATGTATACTGTACAGTGTTATAGATTGTTTATAGAAACACTTCAGAATGCTAGAGTTATGGTCCAAACACCGTACTAACAATATGGTATGCTATAGTTTAGTGGATGGTTGTGATAGTATAGTTTTACAAGACATTCATTATACTGCAGAAAAATCTATGTTTGAATTGAATGAATGGGACGATTAGACATACCAAAGGAAAGGAAAGATCCATGTGGGTTAGGCTGATAATCCTCTGAAAGTAAGTTGGCCCCTGCTCTAATCAACACAGTGGAAGGCGGGAAAGTGAAATCATTTCACTCCCAAGATAAAAAATGTGAAGTACTGTCGAGTCCCCTTTTATGTTTTTCTCCAATAATATTCAGTTTGTTAATGCAGTTTATCATTGTATTTGCCCAGCCTTTTGCTAACCACATTTACTAAAAGCAAAAACCAGACCTGCTTTAGTTAATGAAGTTCAGTCTCACCTGATCTGACCTGTTGTGATAGTCCAGTTCAAAGTGTTACCTGCCCTGCCCTTTAGTATATGTACTGTATGAAAAATATATTTTCTGTCCATTTAAATGCATAACTTTCACTACTTCTTTCTAGGCCTGGATGTTAGGAGACCATGCTTCAAGGGTTAAGGAATGCATGAAAATATTATTTTTCATTCATGTGAGTGTCACTCTGTTCTGACTCACTCTTGTTTTAGAAATACTACTACATTCTGTTCTAATTTTCCAGAGCTCCTTAATCTTCTTCCAGGTTCTTAATGATGTAGTCAATAATAGGATTGTTGGTATTAATTTGGAACAATAATGCCAGCTGCATGCTTGGTGGCTATTGGCAGAGGGGTGACCTTGCTGGTCAGCTAAGCAGTCCTAGAAGTGCTTTGATCTGATCTATACAGAGCTAGAGCTGTCTATTCTAACAAGGGAAGCTAGTGAGGTCTCTCTGCATGGGATGCTGATTCTTCTCCAAAGAGCACTGAGGACAGCATGGCAGTGGCATTTGATGCAATGCTGGCTCGGGTCAAGGATGTTTGTAAAAGAAATGGTTTGCTCATTCTGTCAGTATTGTCTGTGATAGTGGGATGTCTTCTTGGATTCTTCCTCAGGACCAGGCGGCTCTCTCAGCAGGTCAGTAACAAATGAGTGTGACACTGGGCAGAAAATGTCAGTTCTGTAGCAAAAGAAGAGATAAAACAACCTATGGAACTTCAAGGATGGGTATTTCAAGACAAAAATTAATTTGTTAGTGTGGTAGTATTTTGATAGGTGCCTACCTTGTTTTCTTTGGGTCCTTCCATAGATTTTATATACAATATACGCTGGACAAACTGTCATTAAGACACTGCAAGTCTACCTGAAGAAGCACATTGTGATGTTGCATGTATGAATACAGGGTTTTGAAACTGAATGAAATACTGCATTGTACTATATAGAAATGGTAACAGTGTAACATGTTAACTGGTGTCAGAGTACATTCTATTTGAATTTGTATTAGAACATGTATTTCCAATGAAAATACTAGGGAAATTTTTATGGTTAACATACCAGAGTAACAGATATTTATTTCACACTGAGTATATTTTATAAGAACTGAACTGGGATGTCCCATTAATAAAAGCACAACTTATTACATTCACCAGGGGATTTCTCTTCAAACACCTCTACTAATCTGTTTGTAGGTGCTCAATTCTTTCTATCCAGAATAGCCTGACAGACCAGACAGGCAGTGACAAATGCATTGCTGAACAAATTTTTCCCTAAGAATAAACGTTTTAATATTTTAAACAAGTTATGGTACTTCAAAAATATGTGATCATTAAACCAATTTTGACATATTCTGCTGCTGGCCCTGAGTTGAAAATCTTCTACGTCCAAACAATAGCTTCATGCACATAGAGTGAAATGGGCAAAATACAGAATAAAGAGATTATGCAGCGAAACCTATTAATTGTGGCCATAAAGGGTCTATATATTTCACTGCTTTGGCACGCAGATGCACAATACAATTAGATTAATATGGAGAAACCACTGAAGGGGATAGAGATATTACTGATCATTAGGACAGGTGTCTGTGACTAACGAATTCTCACTAGCACCTATTTCATTGTACTGTTAAGGCAGAATTGTTTTTTGTTTGTTTTTTTTTTAGATCCACAATATTTCAAAGTGTCCCTGAGTGAAGCAAAGCTTATTTTATTTTCTCCTGAACACATTACATAGCCCTAGTCAGAACACATTACGTAGTCCTAGTCATTTACAAAAAATTTCCCCAACTTCTTCCATCTGTACCACTTGAAATGATATGCAGTAGTTGCAAGTAATATAAACCGATCGTACAATTTTATGAGAACATTCAGTTTTACCAGCAACTGTAAGGTGCCTTATGAAGAAAGAGACTCTTACACATCAAAACCATAAACCATAAACCATCTCTCCATATATTTGTAGGAAATTAGTTATTTCCAATTCCCCGGGGAGTTATTGATGAGGATGCTGAAAATGTTGATTCTACCACTGGTTGTCTCAAGGTAAGTGAGTGCGACAATTTGCTCAAAATAATAGATCTAGTGTCCTAAATGAGGCAACAAAACCACCTTTACATTGTAACTAAGTTGTTGTGTAAGTGCAAAGACTATTGTAGAAAGCGCTATAATGCATTAATATTTTGTGACGGATTTATGAACATGGTTAGAAAAACGTGGCTTTAGCTGAAGAGGGTTCTGGATCAATAGGAACATCCTGCCAAAATAACTCACAGAAATATTGTTTGCTAACAAACTAGCTTTTGAAATGAACTTATATTTTTCATTTAAAAAAAATGATTTTTATTGAAACTAAACAAATTAAAATGTTGTATGAATCAACCACTATACCATAAGCTAAATCTAATCAGTTGAAAAAATATAACTTGCAAGTCATACAAAACATCACAGTTAATTTACACTTCTTTGCCATATTTTGAGAGAGAGACTTGCTATAGAGAGACTTGGGGGGAGGGATAGCTCAGTGGTTTGAGCATTAGCCTGCTAAACCTAAGGTTGTGAGATCAATCTGTGAGGGGGCCATTTAGGGATCTGGGGCAAAAATTGGGGATTGGTCCTGCTTTGAGCAGGGAGTTGGACTAGATGACCTCCTGTGGTCCCTTCTACCCCTGGTATTCTATAGTATAAGGAAAGAATATATGTGGTCACTAAACTAGCATGTGTTTTGTATTAGCTTCAACTGGAGTTGTGTTTGCTCTGAAAATCAGGCCCATAATGCTTTGAAAAAAGCATTATATAGACTAGATTATGTGCTCGAAATATTAGCTCTGTCTATTTCCAAGAGACAGTGAAATACAAATGTATAGTGTCTGATGTCCTGGCTGCATGGTGGTGTTTATTCCAGATCACTTTTAAACTCATTCAAATAAAAAATGACTTTATTGGAGACCTTTTGTTTATTGAGATAAAACTGTAAAGTAGGTATGAAATCTCTACAGTGATATTTGCCAAACCTTGCTCTGAGCCTGTCAGTCAGACGTACTAAGAGAAATGACAAGCATAATAAGGAGGAATGGGATTCCAGACTGAACACATTTTTTTTTTTTTTGGTCATTGGAATGTACATTCATTTTCACAAAGAAGACTAGGGTAGCTTATCCACAGCTGAGAGCAAAATTAATGTTAATTTGTCTCTTAGTTTGGAGGCACTGTATATGTCCAATGTTAGCAGAGCAGTATTATGTAAGCTCACATAGCTTTTACTTCCAAGGCATTCCTAATCAGTAAAGGCAAGTGTAAACTAACATGCATTATATGGAAAATAGCTTGCCTGATGAACTTGCAGCTTAATTAATCCCTTCTGGAAATAATACCATAACTAATTTTATATAGTGCCTTTGCCAAGCTTGGCAAAATTCAACTTTTTAAAATAATTTCAATGGATAATATCCATCTATTTTAAGTGCCTTTTTCTATATTTATTTAAGTTTTCACAGTTGTGGGAAGTTATGTGGGGGGTGTCAGACATCAGTGAGTCAGACAGTAATTATTTAATGAGAGTAGACATTGTGATTCAAAAAATTAAAGTTTTATAATCGTTAAAACCCAAATTGTCACCATCACATGTCAAAATATACAAAATAAATATTCTTAAATCAAACTCTAATTAGTTCTCAAGCAATATTTTTTGTTACTTTGCCCATCTGTAAATTTGGATTATTATCAATGGAAATATTTTTTGTTGTTTTGTGTGTGTAAACTATCCCACTGCGTAGGAATAGGAAGTATGGCAAGAGACCACCCGGGCTTAACCAGGAGATCTTCAATGATCTAAAACTCAAAAAAGAGTCCTACGAAAAGTGGAAACTTGGTCAAATTACAAAAGATGAATATAAACAAATAACACAAGTATGTAGCCACAAAATTAGAAAAGCCAAGGCACAATACAAGATCAAACTAGCTAGGGACATAAAAGGAAACAAGAAAACATTCTACAAATACATTAGAAGCAAGAGGAAGACCAAGGACAGAGTAGGCCTGTTACTCAATGAGGGGGGAAAGACAATAACAGAAAATGTGGAAATAGCAAAGGTGCTTAATGACTTCTTTGTTTCGGTTTTCACCAAGAAGGTTGGTGGCAATTGGACGTCTAATGTAGTGAATGCCGGTGAAAATGAGGTAGGATCAGAGTCTAAAATAGGGAAAGAACAAGTCAAAAATTACTTAGACAAGTTAGATGTCTTCAAATCACCAGGATCCGATGAAATGCATCCTAGAATACTCAAGGAGCTGACTGAGGAGATATCTGAGCCATTAGCAATTATCTTTGAAAGTCATGGGAGACGGGAGACATTCCAGAAGACTGGAAAAGGGCAAATATAGTGCCCATCTATAAAAAGGGAAATAAGGACAACCCCGGGGAATTATAGACCAGTCAGTTTAACTTCTGTCCCTGGAAAGATAATGGAGCAAATAATTAAGCAATCAATTTGCAAACACCTAGAAGATAATAAAGTGATAAATAACAGCATGGATTTGTCAAGAACAAATCATGTCAAACCAACCTGATAGCTTTCTTTGACAGGGTAACAAGCCTTGTGGATAGGGGGGAAGCGGTAGGTGTAGTATATCTTGACTTTAGTAAGGCTTTTGATACTGTTTCGCATGACCTCATAAACAAACTAGGAAAATGCAACCTAGATAAAACTACTACAAGGTGGCTGCATAACTGGTTGGAAAATCATTCCCAGAGTGTAGTTATCAGTGGTTCAGTCATGCTGAAAGGGCATAACAAGTGGGGTCCTGCAGGGATCGGTTCTGGGTCCGGTTCTGTTCAACATCTTCATCAATGATTTAGATAATAACATAGAGAGTACACTTATAAAGCTTGTGAACGATACCAAGCTGGGAGGGGTTGCAAGTGCTTTGGAGGATAGGATTAAAATTCAAAATGATCTGGACAAACTGGAGAAATGGTCTGAAGTAAATAGCATGAAATTTAATCAGGACAAATGCAAAGTACTCCACTTAGGAAAGAACAATCAGTTGCACACATACAAAATGGGAAATCATTGCCTAGGAAGGAGTACTGCAGAAAGGGATCTGGGGGTCATAGTGGATCACAAGCTAAATATGAGTCAACAGTGTAACGCTGTTGCAAAAAAAGCAAACATAATTCTGGGATGTATTAGCAGGAGTACTGTAAGCAAGACATGAGAAGTAATTCTTCTGCTCTACTCTGCACTGATTAGGCCTCAACTGGAGTATTGTGTCCAGTTCTGGGCGCCACGTTTCAGGAAAGATGTGGACAAATTGGATAAACTCCAGAGAAGAGCGACAAAAATGATTAAAGGTCTAGAAAACATGACCTGTGAGGGAAGATTGAAAAAATCAGGTTTGTTTAGTCTGGAGAAGAGAAGACTGAGAGGCAACGTGATAACAGTTTTCAAGTACATAAAAGGTTGTTACAAGGAGGAGGGAGAAAAATTATTGTCCTTAACCTCTGAGGATAGGACAAGAAGCAATGGGCTTAAATTGCAGCAAGGGAGGTTTAGGTTGGACATTAGGAAAAACTTCCTAACTGTCAGAGTGGTTAAGTACTGGAATAAATTGCCTAGGGAGGTTGTGGAATCTCCATCATTGGGGATTTTTAAAAGCAGGTTGAACAAACAGCTGTCAGGGATGGTCTAGATAATACTTAGTCCTGCCTTGAGTGCAGGGACTGGACTAGATGACCTCTTGAGGTCCCTTCCAGTTCTATGATTCAAAATATGTAGGCATGATAGTAGGCAAAATATGTAGGTCACACAGTGGGGAAGTGGCACTGTATGTGAAAGAAAGCATAGAGTCAAATACAGTAAAAATCTTAAATGAATCCAACAATACCATAGAATCTCTATGGATAGAAATTCCATGCTTGAATAAGAAGATTGTATCAGTAGGAACACACTGACGACCACCTGACCAGGATGGTGACTATGATTGTGAAATTCTCAGGGAGATTAGATAGGCCACAAAAACAGAAAACCCAATAATAATGGGCGATTTCAACTATCCACATATTAACTGGGAACCTGTCACCTCAGGATGGGATGCAGACATAAAATTTCTAGACATCATTAAAGACTGCTTCTTGGAGCAGCTAATCCTGAAACTCAAAAGGGGAGAGGCAATTCCTGATTTAGTCCTAACTGGCACACAGGATCTGTTCAAGAGGTGAATATAGCTGAACCTCTTGGTAATAGCAACCATAATGGAATTAATGTAGTATCCTTGTGTGGGGGAAAATGCCAAAGAAACCCACCACAGTAGCATTTAACTTCAAAAAGAAGAACTACACAAAAATGAGGAAGCTAATTAAACAGAAATTAAAAGGAACAGCCACAAGAGTAAAATACCTTCAAGCTGCATGGACACTTTTTAAAAACACTATGATAGAGGCTCAAACTAACTGTATACCCAAAATAAAAAACAGAGGACCAAAAAAAAACCTGCCATCATGGCTAAACAACACAGTAAAAGAGGCGGTTAGAGACAAAAAGACATCCTTTAAAAACTGGAAGTTAAATCCTACAGAGGAAAATAGAAAGGAGCATAAATTCTCGCAAGTCAAGTTTAAAAGTATAATTAGGGTGGCCAAAAAAGAAGAGCAACTGGCAAAAGACACAACAAAAATTGCTGTTAGTTTTTAAGTACAGCAGAAGAAGAAAGCCTGCCAAACAATCAGTGGGGCCACTGGACAATCAAGGTGCGAAAGGCTGTTGCAGAGAAGCTAAATGAATTCTTTGCATTGGTCTTCACTGCAGAGGATGTGAGGAAGATTCCCACACCTGAGCCATTCTTTTTAGGTGATAGATCTGAGGAACTGTCCCAGAGTGACGTGTCAATAGAGGATGATTTGGAACAAGTTGATAAACAGAAATAAGTCACCAGGACCAGATGGTATTCCCCCATGTGTTCTGAAGGAATTCAAATATGAAACTGCAGAACTACTAACTGTGGTATGTAACCTATGATTTAGCCTCTGTACCATATGACTGGCAGAT